AAGAAGAAGAAGAAGAAGAAGAAGAAGAAGAAGAAGAAGAAGAAGAAGAAGAAGAAGAAGAAGAAGAAGAGGAAAAGAAACAGACCATGTGGAGTGGGCCAGACCTGAGAGCTAGGAAAGGCTCTCCTGCCCGGCTACAGGTGACTCAGGGGACAGGGCCTCTGCGAGGGTCCAGTGGGAGCCAAGGCCCCACGGCGCTGACTTATTTACCAGCTGCTCGTCCCTGTAGCCTGGCCCCGTGGCTCTGATTGCCATGGAAAGTTCCCGAATCGACTGGGAGGCTGGGATTGCCTCTGCGTGCAGCGGACAGAGCCGCTGCGCTTTTCCTGCCAGGTGGAGCTGCTCCCAGCTCTACCCGGCTCCACCCTGCTGTTCCCCCTCACACTGCCAGTGCCTCTGTGCCTCCACACTGCAGCTCGGCCCTCTCATTCTCTGTTTTGAGGCAGTGGCCTGGAGATCCTCCTTCCTCAGCCGCCCAGAGTGCAGGGAGGACAACCCCTACCTGCCCCTACAGCCCCTACCTGCCCAATGGGACAGGGGCCGGAGTAGAGAACCCCTGCCTCTGCTCCTGGGCTGGGAGTGCAGGTGAGTATGTCCAGGTGATGGAGAGGGGAGTGGAGGCCATGATCCCCGACACTCACGACAAAGGCTGGGCCCAGGGACGTCCTCTGGCAGCGCTCCAGCTCCTCCAGGCACAGTTCAGCGGTCAACTGGTCAGCGGCCTCTGAGTTCCGGGTGCCCCAGCGCAGGTCCACGGCCTAGGGAGGAAGGGCTATCACGGGCTGCCAGAGGAAGCTGCCTTTCTCAGCTCCATTTGGCCCAAGCACTGCTTCTGTCAGTAGCTTCAGGCAACCTCTCTTTCATGTGAGTTAAAAGAATTTAAACAAACCAAGCAGGTGGTACACCTGTCATCCCAGCCCTGAGGAGGCTGAGGCAGGAGGATCTCTGGGAGTTCAAGGCCCTCCTGGGCTACATGGCAAGACCCTGCCTCAAAAAAAAAAAAAAAAAAAAAAAAAAGAAAGAAAGAAAGAAAGAAAGAAAGAAAGAAACCACATTGGAACTAAGTTTTGAGAAACAAGGTGGGCTCTGTTACAATGTCCCTTTGTCAGTGGGACGTATTCCCGCTTGTCCCTGTGTCTCGTGACAAGCGAGGGGGGTACATTGAGGTTGCCACGTTCCTGCACTCCCACGCCTGCATGGCAGGGCAGAAAGGCCCCATTCAGGTCCAGAGCTGCCCAGCTGGAGGCTGGCACAAGTTGGGGCCAGAGGCTGGGCGGTCCTGCAGCCCAAACTCAGTGCAGAGAGGTCAGAAACTCCCGCCCCAGGAGCTCAGCTGAGCGGATTATAGACCTGGAGAAGACACAGGGCTGGGCCGGGTCTCAGGCAGGGCCAGGGTTGGGGTCGGCTTGGCCTTGTGTGTCACTCCTGCTTCACGGCACAGGGCTGGCTGGGCACAGGGCGCAAGCAGGGCAGACCTGGCATCCAGCTGCCCAGGAGGCTGAGGCAGGAGGGTTGTGTGTCCCAGCCAGTGGGGTGACTTGGTGAAATAATCAAGAAAAAAAGGGGTAGGGGTGTAGCTCAGGGCTCCTTGGGATCGCCCTTCAGTCCCGCAGGAGAACAAGCAGGTGGAAGAGCATCACCCTGCGCCAGCCCACTAGGCCTTTGGCCCCAGGCAGCACCGCACACAGCCAGTGCCCCAGCCTTACCTCAAAGGGCAGGCCTTGCTTCTGGCAGAAGGTCAGCAGCTCGGGGCAGGCAGAGCCCAACAGGGCCTCCCTCTCCGCGTCCATATCTGCAAGGCCGGAAGGGGTGAGGGGCAGAGCAGAGCCTGAACTAGAGCCTGAACCAGAGCTTCCCCCTCTACTCTGCCAGCACTCAGCTCCCATCAAGGCACTCCCATGTCCCAAGGAGCCCCCGGCTGGTCACCCACCCTGCAGGAGGCTGTCACATAAAACAAGGTAAACATGGGCTGCAGCACTGCTCGGTGATCAGCACTGGCCCAGCCTGGAGAGGCCCTGGCTTTGTCCCCAGCACCGTAGAGGAAGGAAGGGAAGAAGGAAGAAGGGAAGGGGAAGCTGTGAGCTAGGCTGTCCAGGTGGCGCGTGCCTGTCACCCCAGCACTCAGGAGGCTGAGGCAGGAGGACAGCAGGTTTAGAGGGAGTCTGGGCAACTTAGTGAGAGCCTGTCTCAAGATTGTATAAGGACTAGGATGCGGCTCAGTGGTGAGAGCGGAGCGAGCAGGTCAAGGCCTTGGGTTTTGGCCTCGGCACTACCAAAGGAGGGAGAGACGGAGACAGACAGAGAAACCAGACAGAGAGGGAGAGAGAGACAGAGACACAGGCACAGACAGAGAGAGAGGGACAGAGGAGAGAGACAGACAGACACACAGAGACAGACAGACAGACAGACAGACAGACAGATGGAGGCAGGGAGATGGAGCACAGCTCCTGTCCTGCATTGTGCTGCTGTCCCCGTCACAGCAACTCCACAGACCACTCTGCCTGCACCGATGGGGAGGGTAGCAGGTATGGAAGTGGGTCCCCGGCCCCTGGGCCCTGTGAAGCCCCGCACCCTCCTATCTCAGCCTCACCACACACTTACCTGAGGTGGCAGAGCTGATGTAGACGGCCACCCCGCTGGGGACAGGTGCAGGCAGTGGCCCTGCCAGGCCGTGGAGCAGCCGCTGGCGGGTGTCTGGACTGAGGGGACTGCCACGGCTCATGCTGTGGCCCTCCAGGTGCTCAGGCCTATGGCTGGGCAGCCATCAGGGGCCTGGTAGCCTGCAGGCCCTGTGTTCTCCAGCGTCCAGGCCTGGGTCTGGTGCCAGAGAATCTCCCGCTCCACCTGGCAGCCGCCTCAGCTCTTGCTGAGGGAGGCTCAGTGTCGCCACAGCAACTCCAGCTTCCCACAGGACCAGGCTTGCCAGGCTCTCGGGCACTGGTCCCCAGGGTCTATGTCACTGAGCCAGCGGGGCCCAGGGCGGTAGGTGTGTGCTGGGCAGGCCCGAGGGACCTGTACCCCTGCTCAGGTGGTGGTCCGGGCACTGCCAATGCTCATCCCTGCCCTGGTGCTGTGGTGGCAGGAGCCTTTGGTGCTGTCACCAGTGGGGGTAGCCCAGCACCTGGACACCCATGACACACAGCATACCCACCTTGGAAGAGCAGGGCCTGCCCCCAAAGATCACCAGGTGAGAAACAGAGGGTACAGCTCTGCATCAACTCAGCCCCCACCTGCAGGACATGGGCACCGGGACCTGGGACCCCACTTGGGGAGGGGACGCATGTCTCGCCAAGCCAGGCTCTTTAAAGTCATCAAAACCATGCCTTGGGTCCGGCGTGGTGGTGCACACCTGTCATCTCAGCACCGGGGAGGCTGAGCCAGGAGGAGCCCCGTGGGCTATGGAGCCAGCCTCTGTCTCTCCCCATCTCCCTGTGTTGCCCACTCTGTGCCTGGCCACTCAGGCCTTGTGTCCTGTGTCCTCGGAGGTCTGGGACGTCTGGCCGTGACACACACCTGCTGGCTCTGCATTCCTGGCCTGCGCCTCTACAGTCTCTGCATAGAACGTGGGCTGGTCACTCTATTTCACTCTGGTTGATAGCTCTACCCACCAGACATCACTAGATGTCCAGAATGTCCCCTCAGTGACAGTGGAGAACACCTCCAGACTCGCCCTTGCTTGAGCCACAGTGTGGCACACCCGACTCACTTCAGCCCCAGGACCTTTGCAGTGCTGTGCCCAGGCTCCCCCCCTGCATCCTCTCGTGTCCTCAGCAGCCCCAGGGCCTCTGCGCGTGCTATGCCCAGGCTCCCCCGCATCCTCTCCTGTCCTCTGCAGCCCCAGGACCTCTGCACGTGCTATGCCCAGGCTCCCCCCGCATCCTCTCGTGTCCTCTGCGTTTCAGAGTCTGTGCCACCTCTGGGCGGCCCTGCCTTCTGGGCTGCATTCGGTGCCCCAGCCACCCCCAGCCGACCACACCTTTGAGTCTTCTGCCAGGCACTCACCACCACTATCCTATTGGCTTTTTGTCTCCCGCCCTGGAGTGGGAGTCAGATGGATGCTGTGGTCAGCGTGCCTGGCACCCCGAGGTGCTGAGGAAGCAGCTGTCCCCCCTGTGGGCCACGGAGACACCTGCCTTGTTGGGCACCAGTGGCTCTGGTGTCATGAAGGACAGAGGCCCTGTGCAGTGCCACCACCAGCTCTCTGGGGACTCCTGGCCTGTGAGCACAGGCTGCTGGCTGATCTAGAACCTTCTGAGGAACAGGTTTGCCACCTGGAAGACAAGCTCCAGGCACTTCTGTCCGAGGTACTTTCTGGGTCTGTCTGGGCCAACTCTCAGGAAACTGGCTTTCGGCCCAGTTCAGCTGGGCGCTCAGCCAGGCTGGTGGTTAACCGCTGTGTACCCGGCTTCATGATGCCTTGGAGTGAGGCCAGCGAGGAAGGGCCCAGGGCAGTGGCATCCCCACCTGGGTAAAGAAATCGAGCTTGCAGACCTGGCTGCCCACCTCCACCTTAGCGTTGATCTTTATGAGGTCTGGGCCAGGATCCTATGCACAGCAAGATGTTGATCAGCATCCCTGGCCCCCAGCCCCAGATGCAAGGAGCGGAGCCCTCCCCCAAAAACTGCATCCTGATATCAGCCAGGCAAGGGAGTGCATGCCTGAGATCCCAGCACTGAGGAGGCTGAGGCAAGAGGATCGCTGCAAGCTCAGGGGCAGCTTGGGCTACGCAGCCAGACTTTAATCTCAAAAAACCAACAGCAAAGCAAAGTAAAACTTTATCCTGACATGGCCAAGTGGCCAGGGTGGGAGCGGAATCCCCATCCCCTTGTCCACTCCCCGCACCGCTGTCCCCTGTCACAACAAGGACAGTGGAGCCCCCATGCTGAGCCCTGGTCACTGCACTACCTTGGCCCGATTTCCCCCTGTGAATGCTCACTGTCCTGCTTGTCCTCGGTGACACCGGGCTCCAGGAGTCGCCAGCTTCAAGGGGTTCCTGGCAAAGTCTTTGCAGCCAACCTGGGACCAAGTGAGGCTTTTACAAGCCGTGTCTCCAGGAGACACGGAACCACACACACCGCCGGCTTTCCGTGGCTGTCCCTGGCCTTGGTAGACAGACTCTGCCAACCAGAGATCAGAAATATTAGGGAGAAAATTTGGTCTCTACTGAGCCACACACAGGCTTTTCTTGTACTCATTTGCTCAGCTGCACAGTAGTTAGAACGGCCGTGTACATGGCAGGGTTGGAAAATACAGTGGCTGGTTCTTTTCCTTTTCTTTTTCTTGTACCAGGAATCCAACTCAGGACTGCTGTGCCACTGACCTATATCCCCAGTCCAAATGCTTAAATTTTAAAATAACTTTATTTCAAAGAAACCCACATGGGAGTACATCTCCCCCAAACCCTCCACTCTGTTGGAACGCATTCATCCTGTGTCCTAAGAGCTTCCCGCACAGCTTTGCAGTCCTTTCTCCTGAGGGTCCTCAGCTGCGCTGTCCCAGCTGCCTCCGTCCCAGGTGGACTCAGACCTCTCCCTCGTTGGTCACTGTGCTCCTGGGAAGAGCTGGCATCGCTGGTGCCAGATCGGGTAACGGCAATGACCTAGGGCACATTGTCGTATTTATTTTTATTTTATCTTTTTGGGATAGGGTCTCGCTACCCAGTTCAGGCTGGCCTTGAGCTCGCTTTGTAGCCCAGGCTAGTATCGAACTCACAGCGATTCTCCTGCCTCAGCCTCCCGAGCGCCGGGAGGACAGGCTTGCACCACCACAGCCGGCCACAGCGTCGTGTTCTGCCGCTGCCTTTTCTCTGGGCGGCAGAAGCCGTTGCATCTTCGCTCAGCCTCGTACCGACCCTCAGGAAAGCGGACGGGAGCTGGGCTTCTGGTCTGTGCAGCTTTGGTAAATATGCTTTTCTTCACCCTGAGCAGTCACCGCGTACTTTCGCCGTCCGCATACGTGGCGTTTACGTTACACGGAGCACCCAAGTCATGCGGCGAGGGCCAAGTCCCTGGGCGATCGCGCAGGCTCTGTGCACGCGGGGCAGAAGGGCATCCCACAGGGCCGCACGCGGGGCCTCGGTCCCCACCCGGGTACGTGGGGCCTCGATCCCCACCCTGGGCACTCCGGGCCTTGGTCCCCACCCCGGGCACGCGGGGCCTCGGTCCCCACCCCGGGCACGCGGGGCCTCGGTCCACAATAACGGCAGAGGAGGCACGGAAGGTGCATGCTCTGGTACTGCAGCTCTGCCTCAGCGAGGCCCGCAGCCCGAAAGCGAAATGTCTGGCCTCTCTCTCTCTCTCTCTCTCTCTCTCTCTCTCTCTCTCTCTCTCACTGTTATTGTTGTTTTTCAGTAGAACCAATAGAACCAAGGCCTTAGCGCTTGCCAGGGAAGCACTCCACTGAGCTATCTCCCCGGCCCCTCCCTCACTGTTTTTTGAGACAGGATCTTGCTGTGTAGCCCAGGCTGGCCTGAATTCTCAGCGATCTCTTGCCTCAGACTCCCGCGTGCTGGGATGTCAGGCGTGCATCCCTCGGCTGAAATACCCACGGGCTCCGCTTCAGGTGGAGCCCAGGTCATCACAGTCCAGAGCGGTCCTGGCGTGCTCTCTTTGGGGCCCGCCCTGACCTCCCATGGACTCAGGCTGCTCGGAAGAGCGGGAAGCTGCGCCTCTGCAGGCCAACGCGGGAACTGCAGCAACGCGGACGCCCGGCAGCTGTGGGACGGGGCCTAGGTCGGGGCGGGGCCTCAGGCGGGGCGGGGCCTGGGCGGGGCTAGCCCAAGGTAAACCAA